CGCTGTCAGCGACGTAAGTGTGGGGTGTGGGGTGTGGGGGGGAGCGGTTGAAGGCAACGCAAATCAGGTCGTGGTAATATTATTACCAACGCGACGACGTTTTTTGCGAAACGACGTAGACATATCGGGGGTAATATCGGGAACGTGTCGTTCAATATTTCAGCGCGTTCAGTCGCTTCTGTCGGTGGCAAGGGGGGTCCCTGTTTGTACTCGGGGCGACACGCGCCTCGCTGTTGTTAGTTTCGTCGTAGTCATCGTGTTGTTGTTGTTATTAGATTATGCCAAGGTTAATAATCTGCGGGCCCTGCTAGGGAGACATCTGAACGTCCTGTTCGGCCGTCGCTGTAGTCGCTCAAAGAAAAACGATCACCCCTGTATCCTCCACCACCGCTGTGCACGTGGAACATTTCTGAACAAAGGTTAAGGCGCAGCCCTACAAATGCTCGCGCACACCCCCGTCAGCAGAAGGGCCTCCACCAGAGGAAGGTTGACAGAGCCCCCCCTCCCCCCCCCTCAAAAGTTGTATTTCGGCCTACTCTTCCACGGTGGCTAGACGTCTTAGAATTGGCAGAAGTGCCCACACCTTTACCCCACCACCACGCGACCAACTGACGGGGGAGCGAGGGGCTAGGAAACATTCAGCCGTGAGCCGTTTCGCAAGAATGAAAGACGCGGAGGACCTTGGTGAGAAAAAGAGGAAGTTGCAACAGCGAATATATTAGAACGTCGCAGGCACTTAGAAGCAACAACCTTCTGAGGAAAAACATTCAGGGCCATGCACCATTCAAGAAACACTGGCAGCAGCAAGACAAAAATCCCCCCGTGTAGCCTTCACAGACTGTTGGGGCAAGTGCTGTTAGCGAGCACCTATGAAGGCCGGCACAGTACACGAGGGGGTGGGTGGCCAGCACCATGCCCGATCACCTTTGTCTCCCCAGTGGAGATGTTTACACGCCGCACCAGGAACTCACTTGAGGCAGAGTCGACCTAGGGGAGGAGGCCCAGGACCGGTTCAGATAATCGTCACCGGTGTTGGCCGTGAGCTGGAATCGAACTCGGGTCACCGGGTTCATAGCGCATCGCGCTAACCGCTACACCACCGCAAACCCACGCAGGCAGCAGCTAACACACGAACCCAGCCATCACCTCGCGCGGGGGTTGGCTAGCCACGCGTGCAAGAGACGAAAAATCGTACGTTTTAAAACAAAAAAGAGGAATTAGCAAGGGCCACGGACAGGGGGAGCAGAGATTTAAGCCGAAACCACGAAAGAGAGCTCGTTCCAAAAGGCAGAGGAGGGGATGGCAACGCCAGATGATTCCCGATTCCTCATCGCAGCCTCTGGGTTAACATTGGAGGGAGATGGAGAGAGGAGCTTCAATTAAAGAGGCAAGGTGATGAAGATTTCAGTGTGGGGGAGGGAAATGCAGGTCAGAGATGAGGATGAGTGACACCGTCTCGGTTGGCTCCGCACCAGCGCGAAATAAGTTCAACGGACATACATTAAGTATTGAAAAATAATAGGTTTTACCCTCTCTGGCAATAAAACAGGTGTTAAGATGTTCAAACAAATTAGAAACCTTTTGCAAGGAATCAAGTCTGCATTAACCACACGTGCTTGTGGTGAAAAATCAGAGCATGTTTGTTTGCAATAATATACGAGCATTGTCTTTGAAACTGATTTATCTACACCAGAGACAGCCTTCTTTAGGGCCCAGTCCCACCAGTGTCAGACCAGAGAACGCCAAAAGGTGAACGGTACAAGGACAATGCCACCATCAGAGCATTCATAGCTCGGGGTGAGCAACTACAAAAATGGGACCTTTTGGCAAAAAGGTCCCATGTATACATCAAGCAGAGCCAAGTTTACGTTTAAGTCCAGATCACAGTGGCGCGTTCTGCATGGGGTGTCCAGTGCCAAACGAAGGGCTGAATGGAATAGAGCAGTGGTGCTTAACCTGGCGTGCCTTTTCTGGGGGTGCAAGACATGGCCAAAATTTTTAAGAAGGTAAATAATCGAAACACACATTAAGCATGGGCACGCAAGTACAACTGCAGTACTTTGTTTCACCAAACCGATGTATTTATGATCGAGAACCAAAGGGGGTGCAAGGTTGCAATAAAGTTTTAAGAACCGCTGGTATAGGGGGAACCAACGTTTTTAGGAGTCTCCGAGGCCACGATTTCAACAACAGCCACGCTGGAAGACCAATAATTTCTGGGTATTTCTGCACATGTACCAGTGACGTAACGACATGATCAGATCTCACGGTGGTTGTCAAGCGGACCCCGACTCGTAGCTGTGGCCACCGGGGGAGGGGGTGTGGGGGCAAGGCACCCCCAGCCCCCACGCTATAGTTACGCAACTGATGTGTGTACACACACGCAAATTATAATAGTCCTCCGGCTTCTTGGCTCTCACGCGGAGGGCATCATTTTCATGAGTTACACGAATCGTGGAAGACTTTCCAGAATCGGCAACATTCCGATCTTTGGCAATTGCGTCATGGGGAAGAGGCGTCGGTTGTCGCAATGGGCAAGTTGCATCAAGAACTGCCTCGGGAACAGAAACTTCCCTCCCTCGTTGTTCTTGCACCAGAACCAAAACAAATACAAAGACCCGTCCCCTCCGTCCCCCCGTATAGCCTCCATCAGTCTGTCGGGGCAAGTGCTGTTAGGGAGCACCTATGAAGGCCCGCGTGGCACACGAGAGGGTGGGTTGCCAACATCACACCCGGTCGCCTTTGGTCTCCCTAGATGGCGATGTTTACTACACACCGCACCAGGTACTTATTTGAGACCCGAGTCGGCCTAGCGGAGGCCCTGGACCGGTTCAGATAATCGTCACCCGGGTGGTGTTGGCCGCGAGCGGCGATCCAACTCGGGTCGCCGGGTTCGTAGCGCAGGGCGCGAGACGCTGCACTGCCGCTCGCCACCGCAGAGCCCTGGCACCGGTTGGAAGTAGGGCCAGATTGGGACATCGATGGGGCCCTCAGCTACGTGTCACGCTTAACAGGCCCCGTCGAGATCAAACAACTCGTAACGCTCACAATTCCCGCCCCCATCCCCCAAAACGGACGCAAGTTTGAACGCGACTCGCGGGACACAGAGCTCAGCTCAGGTTGACTCAAGCCAGGCTTCCAAACAAATTGAGGCCAGAATGTATTTGTTCGTAACGTGGTCTCGGTATGATGTTGCTTACAATGGTTCTTAAAAAAAGCTTTAAAATCTCAAACAATACACTCCTCCTTTCATTGCGGTTTGGTTAACGTCCATGGATTTACAGCCCCTACGTAGATATCAGGAATCTTGGTAAAGGAACGCAATAAATAATAAATGCATATAATTCGCCTTCTTCCCTTATTTGTCCTTCCACGTAAAAACAAACACAAGTGTATGTTTACTCATTCGATTAGCCACAGCCTTGTCGGTCCAACGCATGAAAACCCTGCACCGGTTTTGATATTCGGCTTCTCATCAGCAGAGCCAGGCTCACTTAAAAACAAAGGTGGTGAACTGCCAGATGTTTATATGCAAGGACACTCTCTGGAAGAAATGGGTTCTTTTTCGATAAAAAAAGTATTATCTTTAGAACTGCTTTGTGTTAAGTTTGTGGTCCTTACCCCCCGCAAATCCGATTAGCACGGTTGGCTACATAATGTGTGAAAGTTCAACATATATAATTACGTCCTGGCTCGATAATAAATACAACAACTCTGTAAACCTCTAAATAAATTGGCCACAAATTACAAATTAATCGCAAGTCTTGATACTCAATCCGGGCCTTTTTTGTCGATAAAGGACGACTGCTGCTCAGAGATAAACACCGGTTTGTGATGCAATGCTTTGCTGAAAAAAAATGATACATTTGGGAGAGCCATTTTTGCAATACAACAGGGGAATTTTCAACAAAACTAGAAACTACTTTGGCAAATGGACGAGCTTAACAAAGGCTGGGAAGCTTTCACAACGCGGTTAAAGTTGTAACGCGCCAAAAACAAGGGAGGTGACGATTCCAAAAAAACAGCTCATCTGTCACGCTCAAAGCAAACTGGGCAGCATACAACAGCCTCTGAAAAAACTAAAATCACATAAACCAAGCCAAGCGTAACAACAAAAAAACCCACATCTCAAGAGTAAATAATATGGAAGAACATGTTTTTGTCGATAATGTATTGTTACCGGAGGCTTGGGAGACAGACGTCAGGGCCCATGCGAGGGAAGTCCTCCAGACCACCCTTTCCCTCCATTCACGAGTCAATTTATTTAAAAACCACGACGTGTTGGGTGACTGGCGGAGCCAGTGGGGGGTGGGGTGGCACGTGCCCCCCCAATGATCCCATCGAAATCCCTAATTTCGATCGGATCACTGGGGCTATTAGTAATACATCGGCATTTTGCGACCCCCACTGCCACTGTGTAGCATATTATTACATGCCATGGACTCTTATGAGATGATAGGACACTAGTCTGAGTCCATAATTGGCAATAAGTAACGGAAAAGCAGTTATAAGTGACTCAGAATTGTGCGCAGTTGCGTATACAGTACACGACTTCCCTGAAGGCATCAACACCTTCAGCGAGCGCGATGCCGATCACACAACGCGGTTCGAATTCGACCCTCGATCGATGGCTGCGCCATCGCTGCACACGCGTCGAATAAAATGCAAGGGACAAGTCCTTACTCACTAACAACGCCTCTATCATTTGTCATTGCTGGAGGGGTTGCCCCCCCTACCTGAAAATCCTGGCTCCGCCATTGTTGGGTGAGGTGCTAGGGTTAGAACCGCGCTCCGAGATTCGGTGCCGAGAGGTTGGTGGTGGTTCGAGTTCACTTTTAATAGTGCTCACAACCTCCACCCCTCCCCTGGCTAGTCCGGACTAGCAAGAACCCGTGGAACTTGCGCGAGGATTTTATGAGGAATAGACCGCTACTTATCAGTAAACTTCTACAATTTCACACGCACACACAAAGACAAACATCCCCGTATTGTCCGAACAGACTGCTGGTGGCAAGTGCTGTTAGAGAGCAGCAAAATCCGAAGGCCGGAACTGCACGCAAGGAGGTGAGTAGCCAACACTACGCCCGGCCGCTTTTGTCTCCCCAATGGCATTTACACACCGCACCAGGTACGCATGAGGCTAAGTCGACCTATGGTCCTAGAGGATAATCGTCAGAGCTGTTAACGCACACACTCACTTTCACCTGCACACAGACCCCCCCTCCCCCCCATATAGTCATGACAGACTTGTGGGGCAAGTGCTATTCGTGAGTAGCACCTAATGAAGGCCGGCACGGCACACAAGAGGGTGGGTGGCCAGCACCACGCCTGACCGCATTGCCTCCCGAGTGGCGATGTTTATACGCAGTACCAGCTATTTGAGGCTAAGTCCACCTAGGGGAGACCCAGGAACGGTTCAGATAATCGCCACTGGTGGTGGCCGTGTACGGGAATATAACTCTGCTCGGTAGGTTTGTAACGCAGCGTAGCTCTAACAGCTCCTGACGTCAAAGAAAATCAAAGATCTCCCGTGTCGCTTTAACAGACTGTTGGGGGAAATGCTATTAGCGAGCACCTATGAAGGCCGGCACAGCTCACGAGAGGGTGGCTGGCCAACACCACGCCCGGCCGCCTTTGTCACACAAGGCTGTTAGTTCTAGCGCGATGCTATGGTCACACAAGGCTGTAAGTATTTGCGCAACGCTATGGTCGCAGGAGACTGGTGCCCGGTTTCCTCCCAGGAAACGCTGGAGCAAGACACCCAAGGCAGGCACTTGGGTGACTCTGGGCCGCGCCCTTGCACTCCCCATGCTTGCTGCTTGCCTCTGCCCCTCAGTTGGCTCCCCCACCAGGCTCCCAGAAAACAAGGGGGGGGGGGTTGAAAGGGGAACCATATTAGGCTATCCCGCTACATAGATACCCTCAACTTTTATAGTGGGTCTAAAGGTTTATTTACCGTCTCCTTGACTGATTCTTCCTAAAATCCCAAAGCCTCTCTGCTTGTCGTTGTCCTCCTGGAGCGTAGCGCTACGGAGTTCCAGTTGCTGGACCCTCTGTCCCAGTGATTCCTCCTCCCTGAGCGGACTTGTGTCTCCCGTGCATGCCTCCCCTGGCTATTCACCGCTCCCAGCCCATTGATTGATAAGACCCATCATCTTTGAGGTTCAATCACCCCACACCTGTGGAGACTATGATTAGCTCTCTGCATGCAGAACCAATCCGACCAAATTATCCAGCCACTGCATGTCCAATAAACTTATTATTGTGGAAACTAGCGTGCATAACTGTTTTTTCTTCATAATTCCAAAGCACAAAGCCACTCTGCGCCCATTCCATTGCCGCACGCACATAGATTGTCTCCCACAGCTGTGTTTATTAAGCCCGCGACATGTATAATGTATCCTTACTCCGACAAGGTGCGGGGTTGGGTAGACATTCTAGATTTGAAGCTTTCGTGACTGCAAGGATTCATACTCTTAGTTATTTCGGTAAAGTCACGTAGGTAGACATGTCAGAAAGTAGAAATCGACAATGACCCGTTAAGCCAATACCAATGAGGTGATTACAAATGTTATTTTCTTATATTGTTTACTGGGATTTAAACAATGGCAGTGAATCTATCTGTTGCACTCCCACTGCGTAATTATGCAGTGGGAGTGCATTCCAGTTTGTTCCATTTATTAGGTATAGCCCTGTGAGCCATGCGGCTCTTCAATCGGGTGCAACCACGACAAACAAAAAGCATGAACAAGGAACATCTTAAAATGACTACGCGCAACAGAAAATTTAAAGAAAAAACAGCAAGTCTTCCAGAAAAAGCACCGTTTTTCAACGCTGTGTGCAAAAATCACAGTGGGATGCAAGTAAAACAATAACAACCATAAGACATTTTAGAGTAAAGTTATCAGTCTCTGTACTACAACAAACAAATATGGCTAAACCAAAACGTCTTCGAAATCACCAAAATAAAGCTATAAAACAATGTAACAGTGATCATAGGAACTGTGATTCAAATTTAACAATAAACGATATACATATGTCCGACCAAACTTTGCAGCCATAGCTGGCAGCATGAGTCACTCCATTGCCATGTGATTCCAGGAGAGTGGAGGAAAAGTAAGCATTTTTGCACACCGTATTTTTTTGACGCATCTATTCCTTAAAATCCTGTATTCTCACCAGTCTTTGGCCAAATTACTTTTCTGAGCAGATGCCCAAGCCTTGTCCCTAGTTTTCATGAGTTTTGTAATCAAACCATGGTGGGCGGTTGTCTTTAATTTTAAATCTAACCAACGGAGAATTTGTTAATGATTTGGGGAAACGTATACCTGAAGGTCTCCCAGCAGTAGTCAGGTTGGGGATATCACAGACCTTGTCAATATCCGAGTGAAGCACATCATTAGTAAATGCCTGTATGCTGAAGTGTCTCATGGAGTGCTTATCAACCAATTTAGGGGGGGCTTTGGGTCTGGCTGACGATCTCACCACAAATATGAAGGAGTGATCACTAAGATTATTACCCAGAACACCAGTAAGTGGAAAATTGTGAGGGGCATTAGTCAATAGGACATCAAGCAGAGATGACTGTCCCAGATTTTTTAGGTTGGGTCTTGTGGGGACATTTATTAATTGAAATAGGTTAAATTCATCTGCAAAATTTGTGGCCACGGCCAGTGGGCTTAGCCAATTCAAATTCAGATCACCCATTAAAATTATTTCACCTTTAGGGAGGCCCCCAAGAAGCTCCCTCAGTGCAGTCCCAGCTTCAACATCCTTACCACTAGGTAGTCTATAGCAGCACACTACCAATATCTGTTGATTTTTATGGAGAGTGATTCTGAGAGTCAGACGTTCAAAGCAATATTTTTAACAAGGAATGAGCTGATGAACATGCAATAGTACTACGAACATATATGGCAATTCCACCTCCTTTAGACCCTCGGTCAAGCCGAAAAAGGTTGTAGCTGTCAATCGTAATCTGCAAGTCATTGACGGATGGAGTGAGAAATGTTTCTGTAAGGCAGAAAATGTCCGGGTCCAGATACGCCACTTCTAGTTTTAGTTAACTTAATTTAATCACAAGCCCTCTGATGTTGACGTGTAGAACGCCAACACATTTTCTCCTAGAAAAATCTACAGAATTAAATGAGTTCTTTACATTTGGGCCAGGGTGAAGCTCAATACCTCCCAGAAATAAGAAAAGTAGAATTAATAGTTTGCACAAGTATTTTCTGTGAAAGGATGAAGAGCGGCGAACTTTGGACGAATAGCAGCAGCTTACAGATGGCGACATTTTTAAGAGCAGAATGAAGTTAGGAAGGAATGCTGGGGAAGTAAGAGATAGGGTTTAAAAGGATACAATGATGGAGTGTAGAAGTGGCTATAAGCTGTTTCACTAGCATGTGTAGTGACAAATGGAGCATCAAGTACGGACGAGAAATAACGAGGGCTGCCAGTGGTTGAATTGAGTTTGGCACTAGATATGGCCGGGAGGGACAGCAGTAGGATACCCAGCAGAACAGCCATCTTTAAAATAACAAAGGTCCACAACAGTTCAACACACTAGTGAAAACGTACAGGTAGGCCGAGCGCGAGAAATGTCTTGCCGCACTCGTCGCACATGTACGGCTTCTCGCCCGTGTGCTTGAGTTTGTGGTGGCGGTTCTTGCTGTTTGTAAGCACACTTTTGTGCGTTGCAATTTCTCTACGCTAGCGTGGATGTGACCTAACACTTCACTCTTTTTTCTCTCAAGAAGCATATTCGCGAACAGAGCAATCACCTGATCAAGCAAATGAAGGGTAAAAACCTCAATAAGTGGATCAAGATGGTCGAGGGCTTCCTGCAGAAGCTTCGGCTCCTTGCTGACGAGGAGCGTTTCTGAGCAAACCAGGCAGCAGCAGTTAAGGCAGGCCCAAGGAGCAGCAGCTCAGGCAGAACGCAGGAAGCAGCAGCTTAGGTAGACCCAGGTAGCAGCAGCTCAGCCGTACACTGCGTTATGGGATTGCTATTCGCATGAATGACCCTCTATAAAAAATACTGCATGTGAAAGCCACAGATCTTATGAGCTGTTATTGAAGAGTCATAATATCTTGTTCCTTTATATCCAAGTTGAGTGTAATCATGCCACATTGATGGTTTACCCCATGAAGGCCGAGAGCATATTATGTGCTATACGCCAACACAGTAGTGATTTGAGGAAGATCTCGTCAGGCTTTCGAGAGCTTCCTCTCGTGTCGGCATGAGGCAATTGCAGGACTGCACCTTCACCTCTGCAACATTCATGAACAGCTAGAACCATGATAACATGACAGATAATTAATCCTCAAATTACATTTAACAAATTACTTATAGATTAAAGGGTGACTTATAATCTGCAATTTTATGGATCTCGGTAAAATTGTTACGTTATTAAACACCTTCAGTGGGTAAACAAATGAAAGTTTAAACATGTAGGCCTACTAATCCGGTACTAGGCGAAGCCTGTGGCAAGATAATTGATCCACAATTTAGTTTAAAAATACTTATAGATTAAGAGGTGACTGATAATTTCGCATCGAAGGACCTCTGTAAAATGGTTAAGTTATTAAATACCTTAGATCGGGAACCAAATTAAAGTTTAAATCTTTAGGCCATAAGGCCTAATAACCTGTCATTAGACGAAGCCTGCAGCGTGAGAATTAATCCTCAAATTAGTTTAAAATGCACTAAAACATGTAGGGGTTACTAAAGATCTGCCATCTAATGATCTCTGTAATTGTTAAGTAATTAAACACCTTAGTTGGGTAACCAAATTCAAGTTTAACCGTTAGGCCTAAGGCTTGAGGCCTATTAACCTGTTTATAGGCAAAGCATGAATCCTCAATTACATTTAATTTAATTTTCGATTAAGAATGTTCCATGAGAACATTTATTGAACATTATTTATTACCGGAGTGTTGATGATGGGTGTTGGTGATGAATGGTAATCATGATGGGTGAAGATGGATTGTGATGATGATGATGGGTGCACGTGCACGCGGGAACACGCTGCGCTGCGAACCTGTGCCAACACAGAGTGTACACACACAATATTCACACACACAATAATGTTCACGTTGTTGTTGTTGAGCTCACGCACCCAAGGGGTCTCCGTTCAAGAGAGGGAGCCATAGAAATGGAATCTAAATAAACTCAAATCCTAACCCTGATCTCGCTCTCTGATGTCACCACTCTTAGACCTTGGGATACGCAAATGTGAGTGCTCGTCCACCCACACCGTCTGGCGTTTAACTTTGGGTGAAGTGAGCCCCTCTAGAGCAAGACGGATCAAGGAAAGGGCTCGGTAGGGAGCGGGCATCGGGAGAAATTAGAGGCGAAAGAAAGGCGGCGGATCAGTCCGTGCCGAATTTGTAAACAGAGGGCGCGATCTTAAACGAGATTTGAGATTGGAATGGGAAGCCAATGAATGTAACATACAGTCGAGAGCAGTGGTTCTTATGCTTTACTGCAACCTTGCACCCCTTTGGTTCTCAATTGTAAAAAAAATGTTAATAAATACATTAGGGTTCATTTTCTTGGTTCTTTCGGTAAAGTCACGTAGAAGGGAAGTAATAAAATAATAAAAATAAAACATAATAAAATAATTCTCACGACGTTTCGGCCACAACGCAAGCAGCCATCCTCAGGTGAAGACCAGGTCTGTCGGGGAGACAGCGTCTGAAAGAACCAAGAAGATGAATCCCTGCAGTCACGAAAGCTTAAAACCGAAATACATTAGGGTTGATGAAACAAAGTAGTTTTACTTACATGCCAGTGCTTAATTTGTGTTTCAATGATTTACCTGCTTTAAAAAAAATCTGGCCATGTCTCGCTACCCCCCAGAAAGGGCAATCTCGCACCCCCAGTTTGGTGCGTGGTACACACCAGGTTAAGAACCACTTGCTGTATTCCATTCTATTCGGATTTATCTAACGCCCTTTCCAGGGCAGTTTACTACGCAAGCCGATGGTGGTACACAAAGGGGCAGAGGGGGAGCAATGGGTGGGGTGGAGCGACTGTCAGTGAGGGAGGTGACCAAAGGGATGGAGGGGCAGGGGCTGGGAGTGGAGCCCTGTGATGTTGCAGGGGTTGTGAAGGAGGAATAAGGTGGAGTGTGATGGTGAATTAGCGTGACAGATGTGTGCAACGTGGGTGAGAGTCACGCTACACCTCTGTACAGCCCATCGATAACCCATCACCGCATTGTTTGTTCAGCTCTATAACTGGTAGAGAAGCAGAGGCATCGTGACGATGAACTCCAGCGCAGCTCGCAATGGGACCGGTCCCTGCTCAATGGACGACTCCTACAAGTACCCCATCTACTCGGCTGTCTACGGCATCGTCTGCATCATCGGGATGATGGGCAACACCATCGCGCTCTACGTCTTCCTGTGCCTCACGCGGACCAAGAGTGCCAGCACCATCTACCTCATCAACCTGGCCCTCGCCGACATGTTCTTCGTGCTGACGCTGCCGCTGCGCGTCGTCTACTACGTGCGCGACGGCGACTGGCCATTCGGGGACGTGATGTGCCGCATCAGTTCGTTCGCCTTCTACGCCAACCTGTATAGCAGCATCTTCTTCCTCACCGGCCTCAGCGTGACGCGCTACCTGGCCGTGGTTCACCCCGTGCGCTCGCTCAAGGCCGTCACGGCGAGGCGCGCAGTCATCGCCTGCGTGTCCATCTGGGTCTTCGTGACCCTGGTCACCTCCCCATTCCTTCTCAGCGGCCAGCACGTCACATCGAGCGGGAGGACTTTGTGCTTCGAGAGCACGGGCAGCAGCCTGAAAATGATTTTTGCCATGAACTACTTCGCCCTGGTGGTCGGAGTCCTCATCCCGTTCGTGATCATCATCGTCTGCTACGCGGCCATCGCCCGGACGCTGATGAAGACCCCGGAAGGCCAGCGCAGGGACTCGAACGTGCGGAAGCGCGCGGTGCGCATGATCGTGCTGGTACTGACGGTCTTCGTGGTCTGCTTCATCCCGTACCACGTGCAGCGCACGCTGCTGCTGCACCACCTGGTCAGCCGCCACAGCAGCTGCGACACGAAGCTCTACCTGCAGAAGTCGGTGGTAGCCACCGTCTGCTTCACCGCCTTCAACAGCTGCCTCGACCCGCTCATCTACTTCTTCGTCGGCGAGAAGTTTCGCCAGAAGGTTACGGATGCCATCAATAGGTAAGTACTTGCTTGGTACTCAGGCCCGACTCCAGCTCCTCTCAGATATCAGGGGCCAGTAGATTTGCGTTGTGTAGGGGTGGAGGTGGGGGGGACACCATAATGTCGATTCACTGCGAAGTGATGTTGGGTGGAGCCCAAGGGACATTTAGTGGGGAAGGACCCCAGTGCCGGATTAAGCTAGTGCGGGGCCTGTAGCCCTAAATAAAAAAAACACATTAAATATTCAAACACATACATTTCTAACTTGCATAGTAAAGTAGTTGTAATTTTTTTCATTTGCTATACAGCCAGATAATACGACAAATCGCTAACCTTAAACACCCAATCATTCATAAAATTTGAAGGCAGTATAGTGCTATAGTAATAGAGCAAGTGCAGAATCACTGAACCGGAATTGACATCTTGAAAGCATTTAGCGCGGGGCCCTTGAAAGTGCGAGGCCCGTAGCATATGTAGCCACTTTTGCTACTAGAATCATCCGGCACTGAAGGGCCCCCCGCACCACCCTGCGAACACCCTCCTAGCGTCAGCCCCGTGAGTACTTCGATCATCAAGTGCCACTAACACATTGGGCAACCCAAAGCCTCCACCTGTCATGGCCTCGTGCCATCATCACTTCGGAGCTCTTCCGCACGAGGCACCTGCAGTTCCTACATATATTTGCACTGGTTCCAGCCTCGCCAGCGCTGCTTTTCATTTGACATTTTACGGGAACCCACGTATAGGCCCCTCGTGGAGCAGTGGATTGACTGAAGGTCTGTATGTTTACGGGAAGGCCTGCTGCGCCCCTTCTCTCCAATGCCGTGACCGATGTGATCACTTTTGGGGCTCTTGAACTAAACTGGTCCAGAATCCCCAGATTTCGGTGAAATTGCCAAAAGCTCAGTGAGCCCAACTAAGGCACGATAGCAATATAAATATACCATCGCGATAGACGAGATCCTCCTGGAGTTTGCGTGTTTCTCTCCCCGTGGTCGCGTGGATTTTTCTCCACGTTTTAAATCAATATCACGCAGTTGAGAGTATTTGGCCGCTATACATTTCCAAGTGATAAGCCACTTCATTGAGATCCTTTGTGGCCAAGTCGCTTATGAAAAATAGCTCTATAGCTGAGTGGGGCCTTACCTGGTAAAACTTTAAACATATTGTTCAGGTTGTAGTGAGTGTTGTTCGCTACGGCATCCAACATTTTGGTCCATGGGCTGGAAGATTCTTGAGGAACTAAAATCGTCGGACTTCACAACCAACCAACATGCGGTCCACCCCGAATATATAAAAATAAAAACATCAGAGAGAAAAATAGACGATTAAAGTTCGCGTTGAGTGCTCCGCAATTATAAAGACTGCCGCTGAGCACGAAGAAGGGAAGCTGGCAGGCAACACATTTTAAGTTCTGCGTCTTCAACCTGCGGTTTTGTGGATGTGGTTTGCGGAGCTTGGTTACCAGTCGGATGAATATCACGTTGCCCATGCTCTCTCTAGAGCTGGAGCAGTGTCACCGTGACACTGACCATGCTCAGATCTTTGATACAGCACATCCGGCGCTAGATTCGTGGAAAATATTTTTTTATTGAAAAACAAAATTTTCTGCACAGACCACGAACTTCAATCGCTCAATAAGGGATATTCGACGCAGTGGCGTAAAATACGAGCAGCAGGCAGCAAGAAAGCGATGTGGGAAATGCGGCCGCTGGCTTAAGAGTGGAAGTTAAATGTGGCCCATGAGCAACAATAAATTACGTCTGATAAGATATTTCTGATGTTCAGCAAATTTTAATCTGGCGTCTATTCTTCAAGATCTTCATAATTGTATTCCTTTAAACATGCTTTGCAGGGGTATGCCTATCCAACTCGCTCTCTCGGAAAGCACCCGGCCTTGTCAGAAGCCCAGAAGCTAAGCAGGGTAGAGCCTGGATAGCGCTTGGATGGACGACCACTTAGCCCAATCAGGTGGTGATAGGTTGCATGGCTGCGTGGTGGACAGCATTGGGCATTGCACCAACATCAATTGCTGTACTGCACTTCTGTGCTCCCGTGTCTAAACTCCCCGCACTGACCAGCGTGGTGAAATATTTTGCTATTTTACCAGGTAAGGCCCACTGAGCTATGTAACTCTTTTTCAGGAGCGACCTGGCAATCACAAATGATAGCTCAACGAGGTGGTTTAACACTTGGAAATGTATAGCAGCCAAATACTCTAAACGCATGTTTATAAATGTGGAGGGAAAAATCGGAGGACCCGGAGAAAAATCCATGTGACCACGGACAGAGAGAGACACACACAGACTCAGGGTCAGGATCGAACCCACGACCTCCTGTATACCAGGCGAGATAGTTAACATCTCGCCACCGTAGCGCCCCCAAACAAAAATAGCCATGTTCAATCCCGAGTGAGCCTCCCCAGTGGAGGATTCACAGAACAGGCTGCGCATTGGCTCTTGCACAGACATACACATACCACACGTCTCGACTGGCACACTCGAATGAAAAGTGTGGTCAATGTTAAGAGCGGTCGGGCCTAAGTGTCCTGGAGACATGTATGTATGTATGTTGAGCTACTTTCGCACCGTGCGTAGCCAACCGTGCTAATCGAAGGTGTGGGGTAGGACAACAAACTAAACACAAACAGCAGTTCTAAACACATGCGTTTTAAATCTAGACATCACAGAAGTTGCGTGTGTTTATACTTGATTGCTTAATCTGTTCATAATAAAGGTTTTTGGGTTAGATCGCGTTATTTATAAATGTGTTACAAGCAGTGGCGGCTGGTGATATTTATTTTTGGGGGGGCGCATTTTTTAAATTTTATTGAGGGGGGCAAATAAATATAAAGCAGTACCAAAAGCCATTTTGACTACTTGAATATAAATTTTGATAATCTTTATTTACATTTCAGACCAAAAGAAGTACCAAAAAGCATGTTTCCTACTTGAACATAAATGTTTCTCTTTTATATACATTTCAGACCAAAGTACCAAAAAGCATGTTTCCTACTTGAACATAAATGTTTCTCTTTTATATACATTTCAGACCAAAGTACCAAAAAGCATGTTTCCTACTTGAACATAAAAACGTTAGTTTCATGCAATTATCAATATGGCTGCGGCTACTTTCATGACGTTTGCATTTGTCAGAGAGATGTTTGAGGTCTCTTACCCCCGTCGTTGTCCACAAAACTTCAGTGCCGACACTTTGAAATAAAAGACAGGGAAAACAAAAAAGAGAATTGCTAACATCACATCCAGCCAGCCACCTCCGTTTCTCATAACAAGCGCGGGTGAAGCTTCGTGTGTAGCTTCGTCCTCTGTCACTGGCCTGCTGCTGGATTTGTAAATCGGGTTGGTCCGGTCCGAGATCCTTTATCTTTTTTATTTCTTCCAGCGAAAGCCTTGTGAAAGGGTTTTTTTGTAAATAAATTACAGAATTTGGATGAACTGCTGCCATTGTTTACACAAAAAATTTGATCAGCCTAGCAAGTGTCAAAGTGGTGTCGCCTTCGCACTCGCAGTAGTGGCCTACAGCGTAAATTTGAATGACAGGTGACGAGAACCAATCAGATTGGATAAAATAACATGTATCCAATTCTGATTGGCCAGGGACGCAACGACTTGCGCCCCGAGGAGAATCTTTAAGAAACCAATTAGAGACCAGCTTCAGGTCACATGCTGTCCGAAAATGTAAAGTCTCACATAGACATCCATTTGTCCGGCGCCCCGCATAAAACACATTGAAAAACATAGAAAATAGTTGACCGATTAAAGCCAGTTTTTATTAAATGCTGATGCTTTTCTTACTACCAGCCGGCACATCGTATGAAAAAAATATTTTATTTATGTATTTTTATATAAATTTTGTATATGTATATTTCTGGAATATTGATGGGGGCGGCGCCCCTGCGCCCTCTATTGACGAGCCGCCACTGGTTACAAGCCTCCACCACAATCAGTAAAAAATGTGTCACGTTGACAAAAGACAAATAGTTCACTACTTTACCCCACCAGTGTGTTGAAGAGTGGATCCACAACATTTACAATTCGAGTACGATGTTTCACTGGAAATTACATCCAGCATCTTCGGGCAATTTGCCAGAATAGTGAAGCCATCCACCTGCTTCCGGTCTTAAATAGTGCGCGATGACGTCATCATTGTTGAACCCCCATCAGGATTCGAGATCAGAGGCGGAGGTGGGGGTGGGGAGGGTTGCGACACATTTACAAATAACGCGATCTAACCCAGAAACCTTTATTATGAATAATACTGGTCGCGAAAGCCTACGTGTTAAACTGCTCAATCTGTGTTTTCGATGTCACTTTCCCACCCATCCCCGCCACCATAACCCCAACAAACTGTCATTCCCTCTCCCCGTGTATCCGTCTGTTCATCCCGAACCCTCCATCATCCATCCGCACACAAACACACACACACGCGCCCACACGCTCACACACGCACACATCACGCTCACACACGCACACATCACACACGCACACATCACACACGCGCACGCACCTTCCCGCACCCAGGCGATCCCGACGGAGCTCCTCGAACAGCTCCCTTCGATCCAGAGATTCCCTGCAGCCCAAGAACTCGGTCAAGTTGCAGATGCAGTCGGTGGACAGATCAGCCGAGGCGACTGGCAACAGTTCTCAAGAGGTTGACGAGTGACAAATCAGCAAGGGTCTCCCGGGTGGTCTTAGATTTCCTTCGCCCCCCCCCCCCGCAACCTCTGATTGGCACGGTTGGCTACGTACGGTGCGAAAGAAGTTTAACATACGTACATACATCGCCAACATTTTCACATATTTCTAAGACCCCCCCCCGCCTCGCAATTTTTTGGGGTAGAAAAATTATGGTATTATGGGAGATGCGGCGAATGATTTTGGAATTGTCAGTTGGGGTGAACAAGGTACGGGGGGATGTCGAGGGTAGGTGGTGGGCAGGGAGCGAGGCCACCTCCGGTGAGCACGATTAGCGACGTACGGTGCGAAAGAAGTTCAAAATGCACACGTGCACGGGGCGATTTTTGGAGGCCCTTGTGTCCGTGTGGATATTGTCAGCGTCCAGACTCAGCCAGGACATGGCACCCTAACAGTCTAACTGCCCGAATGCGTCCCTTGTAGCAACGATTGTTTTGCAGCACTGCCTTCTGGTGACTACCGCTTTGCCATGCGGTGCCCCCCCACCCGCTCCAACCACGAATGGCTCACAGAGCTATACCAGATAAATGAAATGAAACTGAAACCTGATTCCACATTCGTTTCTTTCAGCTTGGACCATCGTGTAGTGTATAATGTACTAGCGGGAAGCACCCGGCGGTGCCCGGGGGAAAAAATGTTGAAAAACTTCTCAAACTTTAAAAGATGACATATACAAATGAAAAAAAAAAACTTTGATCATTACCTCATGAATAAAAATTAAAATAAAACCCAACGCGCGGTGGAAAAAAAAACTTTAGCTCGCGCGCCAAGATTCGATTCTTTAGATCGCGCAAAGGAATCGAAGGTTGTAGATTTCTTTAGAATCGGTCTATTCCCGTTTAATCGATACCCCAAACGTTCACCAGATATCGATTCTCGCCACACACTGCATGGTCATTTCGCCCCCCCCCCCCCCCCAAAAAAAATACCAAAGTAAAATGTTATACGTTTTACATTGTGTACAGCATGGGAGCTAGCCACATGGGATACACGGCCTACGCGGAGGGTTGGGGGGGATGCGTTACGCTTCCACATGCGCGGGTCACATGACAGATGTGACGTCACAGCTCATTTGCCGTGCAAAAAAATATTCATTATTGAGCCCCCCCCCCCAAAAAAATACAAAAGTCTATTTTTATAATGTTTGCATGATGTACAGTCCGGAAAGTACTAAAATGGCAAATTTCAAGTTTGTTGCATGTCGGGAAGTATGCTAAACATTTTGAACAGACACATAATCACGCATTTCCCTTATATATAGAGATTGTGTATCATTTTTTTCGCTACGCCCTTCCACCGCCGATTAGATTTGGTTCGTCAGCAAAACTGGAGGAGGAATGTTTATTGCACTGTTTGTTGAACTCCTTTCGTACCGTACGTAGCCAAGCGTGCTAATCGGAGGTGCGAATGTTGAAAGTGCGAGCAGACGTTAGTCACGTTTCACAAGCGACGTTTCGATGGAGAATACAACCAGCATCATGAGCTTGCTGCCATTCCTCCCGCACCTCCGATAAGCACGGCTGGCTATGTACGGTGCGAAATAAGTTCAACATACACACGTACATAAGACTCACACAGAGACCCATAGTTTGTTGTCCCGCCCCCACACCTCCGATTAATTATCACGATTGGCTACGTGCACTGCTAAAGAAGTTCAACACAGGACATAAATACAGGCGTTAATAAAAACTATGCTCTCTTGCACAGAGGTCCAACTCAAAATAAACCCATCACGAACCGTAAACCCCGGTCGTGAGAGCCTATGGATACAATTCTCCAACACGTGCTTTAGATGCACGGTGGCGGCCCCATTCAAGCACCGTCAAGACACAACCCCAGGCTTAACTTCCGAGATCGGCCGTGTTCCTGGTGATTTGGTCGAGGTCTATAAAACCCGCGCACGTCTCTGCTTCCCACCATCGCCAACCCGCACTGATCAACGTGGTGAAGTATGGTCGTACTATTCCCCAAGAGCCTGTCATGGCGATCCTCATGGTGCTGATCGGGTCCTTTTTTCAATCTATCTCTGATCCGGTCGGTCACATTATTTAAGCTTTTTTTTATATCAGTCACCGTTTCTGTGCCGATGACAGCCAACTCTCTGTACCACTCTTGACCCGCTCGAACCTGGTAAGGGACTCCTCTACTTACGAACGAGTTAGGTTCCAAATGTCTATTCGTAAGTCCAACTTTACTCCCGTCGATTCCAAACATGTTGTACGACATGTACAGTAAACACGGGGAATGGATTTAAAAGTTGTATAATCTCCTACAGATGTAGATGCCCATTGGTTCTTCATGTTCTGCAGATGTAGATGCCACTGGTTCTTCATGTTCTCCAGATGTGCCACCACCGCCATATTTTGTGCGGCGGTTGAACTTACGATTCTCGGTCAGAAGGCAACTGGACATACGGGCAGGTTTGTTCGTATCTCTAAAAGTTCGTAAATCGAATGTTCGTAAGTAGATGAGTGTCGGTACTATCGTCTTACTCGATTGTGTACGTCCAGTGTGGGCCACTCAGGGTGTTTGTAAAAGAGTGTCTAGACCAGGGGTCGGCAAACCTGCGGCTCCGGATCCGCATGCGGCTATCTAAGGACTGCTGCTGCGTGACGTCATTTATTAACGACCAACGTCTTGTATTCACATGCATTGCCGGCTCTTGAAATAACACATTCCTGCGGAGGGAGCTGGTAGGAACGTTGGGTTGCTCGGTCAATGGCCAGGGTCAACAGCGGCGTGGTGTATTCCGCAAATATGGCCGACTGTGAGGGCAGGCACAAGCCGGTGTGAGTAGGTTAAACGTTGATATAAGGGCACCACGGGGTGACCAGCCCCTCCCCACCCAGCCCCATCCCTCCCTCCCACCCCCCACCCAGCCCCACCTTCCCCATCCAGCCCCTCCCCACCCTCCCCACCCAGCCCCTCCCCACCCAGCCCCTCCCCACCCTCCTCTCCCCACCCAGCCCCTCCCTGCACGACGGACACAATAATCCCCTGTGGGCTGGTGTAACCAGGAGGTTCCTACCAGTATTAAGTGTATTTATAAATATCTTTTACCAAATTCGAAAAAAGCCTCTTCTTGTTATTTAGGTTTGCCAAACCATAGTCTAGACGTTACGTAGGCTCTCCCTTCTGAGGGTAGCGTTGTATACGTTCGGCCGGGTGGCGTTTGTATTTTTGTTTTTACATTTCGTCCACATTTGTTTAAACCCAGCTTAGAACGTCACTTGATGTTTTACTGCGGTATTTCCTCAACCAACAATGATAGTCGATGTTCCCTCCGCATTCCTTTGATGTAAATAGTCGTTCAATGTCTATAGGGTTAAGACGCCGCTGTATACATTTCTTTATAATCACTGTGTTGACATTATGTTTCGCAGTGTGTGCCGCTAATGCTGAGTTTAATTACCTAATGTGTTGTATGCTGCATGCATTGTGATATTTGTCAGTAACCCATGATTGGGAAAAACCGACAACCTTTGTCTATCAATAACCTGTTGTGCTGTATCCAATTATTAATTTCCAGCTCCTTTGTGCCGAAGTTACTCCTGGGGGTTGTGCTGGCTCACGAAGGCTGATTACAGCTTTGGGACTGATGGCTGAGTGTCAACACGGCTGAGGGTCCTTTAGTCGGGCTACACGACATGCACGTTGGATGATTTTTAGCAAATAAATGTGCAGATGTTTGTCGTGTGCTGCGTGCGTTATTCCATATCGTGAATGTTGACAAATCGGACACTTGCATTCGACTCATGAACTGTAAACTACTTTTGAAAAAATTACCAGGTAAGGTCCACACACGATCACGGGGAGAGAGAACATGCATACTTCAAATATACTGCAGGCGTCAGGGTCGGGATCGAACCCACGATCTCCTGCACACCAGGCGAGGTAGTTAACATCTCTCCACCATGGCACGCCCAGGCACATTGCATAGAGACAAGTGCTGTAGAGTTGTTTCTGCGCTATAGATAATGTCGCTCCCTAGTCGAGATACATTCGTGACCAATCGCTGGTTGGTCACCCGGAGAGAACTCACGCGTGCGAGGGGGAAACACTCGATCCCATACGGACGGAACAAGGCGAGTCCACATTTCTTGCTGGACCGCCGTCTACTGGCGAGCCAAGGTTATGGCACCTCGCCGCCAAACGTTACCGTGAAAATGTTGCAGCGTAAATTCGAATCCGTAAGTAAGCAAGGGGGAATCGTTTAAATGCAACTTACCAAAGAAAATGAATGTCGCTATTGCGCCAATGGTATCAGCTTCAGTGCTCACAGTGCTTTAGAGTTGCGACAATTCCTTGGCATGGTAACCCGCGTGATCACAGTGTATGTGCCAGGCTAGGTGCACCACTATTCCCAATCGGCAACGGCGTGTCCATAACATGGTGGGTCACAGGTGGGTCACAGGACTAGCCCAGATATTTATTCTCAAGGCCAACGAATCAGAAAAACAACAGATTTCACTATTGGTGGCTCAAGCTCCGTGGTGCCAAGGGGCCGTCCATAAATGACGTCACGCACCTCGGGCAGGGGGGGGGGGTCAGACATTTGTGACGATGTGTGACGAGGGGAGGGTTAAGAAATGTGACGTCACATCAAAATGCGCAACTTTAAATAAATAGACAACACGTTCTACTTAATTAAATGGCCTTTTTAAACAGGACCCTGCGGGGTGGGCTGGTAGGAATAATACTTAGTACCGGTACAGAAATATCGACCGGGTATAGAGGAGTTAAAGAAAAAATTACTGTATTCTAGTGTAACGTTAATTAAAATTGTTTGTTTTGACAAGAAACGCTGTGAGATTTAAAGACTCGTAGTCTTTCATTTCCAACACCACCCTCAACACCACCCCTCCCACGGACGGACACATTAATCTATTGGTGGTCTGGTCCACTTCGTTCCTACCAGTATAAATGTTTCTCCTACAACATCAGAGTGCAGCGGCACATTAAATACGCACTACAATGACAATTGTTTAAAGCGATTTAAAGCATTTTTCGAGGGGGGGGGGCATAGCTTTGTGACGTCATATTTGAGAAGGGGTCTGACTTTTTGTGACGCCGTGTGACGATGGGGGGGGAGGGGTCAAACATCGTCAAAAATCGCGTGACGTCATTTATGGACGGCCCCCAACGGCTTCGCGTTTGATGCGACAGCTTTAGAGCCAGGGGCATTCGACACGAGCGGAGCGGCGGTTCATTGCTGCGCTATGAACCCCGCGGCGGCCTGGGTGAATTTCGCTGCGTCTGTTCAGCTCCCGAAGAAGCTGCCAGCACGCGGGCAGCGAAACGTCGAACAGTGCGCCGGGACAACCCCTAGACGCACAGCAAAGCCGCTGCAGATTGAATGACAAGGGTGTTTGTTTGCGATGCTGCTGCGTTTGGCAGTGGTGACCGAGTTCAAGCAACACCAACTCAACACACGAACTCAGCGCTCAAAACGAGAATCTAAAATAAATATAAAAAATTCGACGTTTCAGGCACTGGCCCTCCTTCCCAGCATCTGTCCGCTGTTTTATTGTAACGTAATAGGTGATAAAAGTAGTCGTGTATGATCGGCGACGTTTCGGGCAATTGCCCTCCTTCTGCATAGCAGACAGATGCTATACAGCAACAACCACAGAGATAGTCTATGAAGTAGGCCTATTGTCCGAAACGTCGACTATAACAATGGACGAAATAGGCCGATAACGTGCTGTCCACTACCCCGAGCACGCAGCACGCGCGGTGCGCCCCCCACACCCCCCCCAACTTTGCACAACTCCCCCCCACCACCCTGTCCCACCCCCCCCCCCCCACTTTGCACTACTCCCCCCCACCACCCTGTCCCACCCCCCCCCCCCACTTTGCACTACTCCCCCCCACCACCCTGTCCCACCCCCCCCCCCCACTGTGCACTACTCCCCCCCCACCACCCTGTCCCACCCCCCCCCCCCACTGTGCACAACTCCCCCCCCCACCACCCTGTCCCACCCCCCCCCCACTGTGCACTACTCCCCCCCCACCACCCTGTCCCACCCCCCCCCCCCACTTTGCACTACTCCCCCCCACCACCCTGTCCCACCCCCCCCCCACTGTGCACTACTCCCCCCCCCACCACCCTGTCCCACCCCCCCCCCCCCCACTGTGCACAACTCCCCCCCCCCACCACCCTGTCCCACCCCCCCCCCACTGTGCACTACTCCCCCCCACCACCCTGTCCCACCCCCCCCCCCACTGTGCACTACCCCCCCCACCACCCTGTCCCACCCCCCCCCCCCCCACTGTGCACTACTCCCCCCTCACCACCCTGTCCCACCCCCCCCCCCCACTGTGCACAACTCCCCCCCCCCACTACCCTGTCCCACCCCCCCCACTGTGCACTACTCCCCCCCCACCACCCTGTCCCACCCCCCCCCCCCCCACTGTGCACTACCCCCCCCCCACCACCCTGTCCCACCCCCCCCCCCACTATGCACTACTCCCCCCCCACCACCCTGTCCCACCCCCCCCCCCACTGTGCACTACTCCCCCCCCACCACCCTGTCCCACCCCCCCCCCCCCACTCTGCACTACCCCCCACCACCCTGTCCCACCCCCCCCCACTGTGCACTACTCCCCCCCACCACCCTGTCCCACCCCCCCCCCACTGTGCACTACTCCCCCCCCACCACCCTGTCCCACCCCCCCCCCCCCCCCCCACTGTGCACAACTCCCCCCCCCCCCACCACCCTGTCCCACCCCCCCCCCACTGTGCACAACTCCCCCCCCCCCACCACCCTGTCCCACCCCCCCCACTGTGCACTACTCCCCCCCCCACCACCCTGTCCCACCCCCCCCCCCCACTGTGCACAACTCCCCCCCCCCAACCACCCTGTCCCACCCCCCCCCCCCCACTGTGCACTACTCCCCCCCCACCACCCTGTCCCACCCCCCCCCCCTCCACTGTGCACTACTCCCCCCCCCACCACCCTGTCCCACCCCCCCCCACTGTGCACTACCCCCCCCACCACCCTGTCCCACCCCCCCCCCCCCCACTTTGCACTACTCCCCCCCACCACCCTGTCCCACCCCCTGTGCACAACTCCCCCCCCCACCACCCTGTCCCACCCCGCCACTTTGCACGACTCCTCCCCCCACCACCCTGTCCCACCCCCCCACTTTGCACGACTCCCCCCCCCCACCACCGTTCCCCCCCCCACCACCCTTCCCCCCTCCCACTTTGCACCCCCCCCCACCCGGTTCCTCCCCCGTGCCCGGCTGTGAGGTCTCCCACAGCGTGGGCGGCTGCCGCAGCAGCAGCAACGATGGGGAGCCGACCGACAACACTCGCACATCAACAGAACACATTCCTGCGGAGGGAGCTGGTAGGAACGTTGGGTTGCTCGGTCAATGGCCAGGGTCAACGGCGGCGTGGTGTATTCCGCAAATATGCCCGACTGTGAGGGCGGGCACAAGCCGGCGTGAGTAGGTTAAAAGTTGAGTTTTATAAGGGCACCACGGGGTGTACAGCCCCTCCCCACCCAGCCCCAGGAGGTTCCTACCAGTAAAAAACAACGGTGTTAATAACAACTCCGTTTAACTGACGGTCGAGAAGTTCGTCAATGGCGCCTGAGACACGCGGCGCCTGTGTTTTGTGCGAGCCGATTCCACAGTTTAGGGACCGCGGCGTTTTTTACCGACACAAAAATATACAAATAATGAGGCGTCCATACAAAATGCAAATTGCTTTAAAGTAGCGAATTAATTTATTAATTGATGCCGATTTTGATACAGGCATGCATTGTCACCGGATCTGAGTACGTGTGCAAAATGTGGAATTGATTTGACAACGGGAAGTGGACGAAATTCTGATTACAAGATTTGACCACGACCAACATAGGAGTCAAGTTAAGTAAAACCGTTGGATAAAAAACAACTTTATTTATTACTTCGGCCTTTAATCTTTAATTGAATTAACCTTGTCAAATGCAACACTCATTTATGTTATTGCTCCTTCTTCCCTCTCTCTCGTGCGGCGTTGTGAGAAGCAATATTTATTTCACTCGGACTGTGTTCTTATTATTAGTATTCACAGTGTTTGGGGGCCGTCCGTAAATGACGTCACACAATTTTGGCCGATTTTTGACCCCCCTCGTCACACGGCGTCACGAAAAGTCAGACCCCTCTCAAATATGACGTAACAAAGCTCTGCTCCCCCCCCCCCTCAAAAAAAAACATATTTCCATTTTGAAAATAAAACTTGCTTCAAATCAGCTTTAAACTATTGTCATTGAAGTGCGTATTTAATGTGGCGCTGCACTTTGATGTTGTAGGAAAAAACACATTAAAAAGGAGGTGTTGGAAAGCTGAAATTTTGCATAAAATTCCCTTGAAAATATGCAACGTCTAACTAAAACTGCAGATGTTCAGAATAGTACATTGAAATCATCTTATAATGAGAAAATATTTAAATTAAATATAACTATAAAAAAATACTTGAAACATGGAGAGTACAATTATAACAATCACATTCATTCCACAGAATAAAAAGCCCTGGTAGAATCAGAATCAAAATATTTAATAATAATCATAAAAAAATGTACAAAATGTATGCTTCTCCATTCTCCCATGGAGAAGAAAATGCTCTCTCATGGAAAAAATAGTAAAAAAAAAGTAAATTAATAAAATGAAATAGTTAATAATGAAAATTAATCAAAATTAGTGTTATAACAAATATATTTAATTAAGTTTATTTAAAGTTTCGCATTTAGATGTGACGTCACATTTCTCAAACCCCTCCCTCCCCCCTCGTCACACATCATGTCTGACCCCCCTCCCCCCAGGTGCGTGACGTCCTTCATAGGACGGCCCCTTGCCTTTAATTCGGTCAGAGACGACACATGGTGTGTTACACCTGTGCCAGATGTTACACCCCAGGTGCCACTGTTCCAGGTGTTGCACCTGGCAGGGACGACACGTGGGCGTGGGGCCCACTCGCTATCACAGCCGATGTCTCGAGCACGTATCGTGCAATCGTCTCGCCCTCGGCTGGCGCGTCTCCCGTCACCACCTCAAGATTATCAGGCACGCCGCGCGTGTCGTGACGGGAACCCGCAAGATCGCAAAGTGTCCGTACGGTGCTCGATGTGACGCCTTGGCTTCCGCCCGACGAACGAACACAGCGTTATAAGGTCGCGCCCGTTACTCACAGAGTGCTTACAGGGCCGTTCGTAAATGACGTCACTTACCTAGGGGGGGGGGGGCAGATATTTGTGACGATGTATGACAAGGGGGGGGGGGGTGTTTGAGAAATGCGACGTCACATCAAAATGCGCAACTTTAAATGAATATAGACAACACGTTCTACTAAATTAAATAGACGTTTTAATGTTTTATCCTACAACATCAGAGTGCAGCGTCACATTAAACACGCACTACAATAACAATAGTTTAAAGCGATTTGAAGCATGTTTTTTTTGGGGGGGGGGGCATTGCTTTGTGACGTCATCTTTGAGGGGGGGGGTCTGACTTTTTGTGACGCCGTGTGACGATGGGGGGGGGGGGTCAAAAATCGTCCAAAATCGCGTGACGTCATTTATGGACGGCCCCTACACACAACCACCAGCGAACCACCACGTCTCGCTGATCTCGCCAAGGATTATAAACCATCACGCGAACTGCGATCACCCTCACAGCAGCAGCAGCGGCGGCTCCTGGCTGGCCCTTCGCACAAAGGCCGCGGTCACCGCATCGCGCGCTTTCAGATGCGCTTCTGCGGCCGTCTGGAACGCTCCTTCTTTCCATACTAGGAAGCCACTGGGAGATGTGCACTTTAAATAAACTAGATTGGAAAACATTTTCTTCAGAACTACTTTTTAGCGTTCAGTTTTGTGTCCACCCTACGCACATCCGATTAGCACGGTTGGCTACGAACGGTGCGAACGAAGTCCAACATAGTACATACATCGGGGAAGGAAGTGGTGTGGGGAAGAGCAAGGTGGGGGTGGGGGAATGGGTGGGGTGGTCAGGGACGGGGAAATCCCAAGAGCGTGTGGCCCTTGCTGCGCCCCTTTTACTCGGAATGACTCAAGACAACAGACGGCCCACGGGCACACGGAGAGAGCGAGGGGGAAGAGAGAGAGAGCGCCTTGTGTTGTACGCGAAACACCGCGCCGTGGAAGTCGCAACGCAGCCGAGTCGTCTCGTCGATCAAAACGAACCACGCGTCCCGTCCGTACAGGTACGGATTCTATTCGCCGTTACCACCACCATCATCACCATCATCATCATCTTCTTCTTCATCATCATCATCTATAGCGGGCATGAGCCCGCTATAGATGATGATGTAAATAGTATTTACTGCTGGATGACTGGAAGCCTTCCCCCGCATCGTCGCCATCACTGAAGCGGCCTTGCGATGCCCCAGTAGTTCTCGTTCACAGTGGCTAGGAGATGTTAACTACCTCGCCCGGTATACAGGAGGGCGTGGGTTCGATGCCGACTCTGACGCCTGCTGTATAGTTTGAGTTTTCGTGTCTCTCTCTCTCTCTCCGTGATCGCGTGGATTTTTCTCGGAGTCCTCCGGTATTTCCCTCCACATTTAAAACCAACAACAGTCGTTTCGAGTATTTGTCTGCTATACATTTGCACGTGATAAGCCACTTCGTTGAGCTATAATTTGTGATAACCAGGTTGCTTCTGAAAAAGAGCTCTATGGCTCAGTGTGCCTTACCTGGCAAAAAAAAAAATACTGTACATTGAAGACAATACAGACGAGATAGCAAAAACGAGACAGTCCCAAACATCCAATTGAGTCAGTTGCATTAAAAACGACAAAACATTGAATCGATCCCTGCATCACAAAATCGTGGGGCGCAATTGGAATCGCGTGCGTGGGAACGTAGCGGTAAGTCCCAGAATGCCGTGGTGTTAGTCACAGGTAAGTCCCAGAATGCCGTGGTGTTAGTCACAGGTAAGTCCCAGATGTGCCGCGGTGTTAGTCGCAGGTAAGTCCCAGATGTGCCGTGGTGTTAGTCACAGGTAAGTCCCAGATGTGCCGTGGTGTTAGTCGCAGGTAAGTCCCAGATGTGCCGTGGTGTTAGTCACAGGTAAGTCCCAGATGTGCCGTGGTGTTAGTCGCAGGTAAGTCCCAGATGTGCCGTGGTGTTAGTCACAAGTAAGTCCCAGATGTGCCGTGGTGTTAGTCGCAGGTAAGTCCCAGATGTGCCGTGGTGTTAGTCACAGGTAAGTCCCAGATGTGCCGTGGTGTTAGTCGCAGGTAAGTCCCAGATGTGCCGCGGTGTTAGTCGCAGGTAAGTCCCAGATGTGCCGTGGTGTTAGTCACAGGTAAGTCCCAGATGTGCCGTGGTGTTAGTCGCAGGTAAGTCCCAGATGTGCCGTGGTGTTAGTCACAAGTAAGTCCCAGATGTGCCGTGGTGTTAGTCGCAGGTAAGTCCCAGATGTGCCGTGGTGTTAGTCACAGGTAAGTCCCAGATGTGCCGCGGTGTTAGTCGCAGGTAAGTCCCAGATGTCGCGCACTGTCAGCTCGGACACGCGCGACAACGCATGGACGTTGCCTACCACACAAAATGAGTTCACGAATAATTAACTACAACGAATTACCATTTATTTATTTATTTAGCCAGGTGAGCCTTACCTGGCTCATCTGGCTGTTGCCCTTCCTGTTCGTGTGTGGTTCCTCGTCATATCGAGAGTGAGTCAACACTGAACGGCCACGTGATACAATGCGAAATAATTATTTATTGTTGTCATGAGTAGAATACAATGTTTGTTTTGACACCAAGTAAGGCCCACTGAGCTATATAGCTCTTCTTCAGAAGCGAACTGGCCACAAATGATAGCTCAAAGAAGTGGGTTATCATCGCGTGGATACTTACAGCAGCCAAATACACTAAACGCGTGATGTTGATTCAAAATGTGGAGAGAAAAATCGGAGGATCCGGAGAAAAATCCACGCGCCCACGGAGAGAGACACACCACAAATTCCAAGTATACAGCAGGCGTCAAGGTCAGGATCGAACCCAGGACCTTCTGCACATCAGGCGAAGTAGTTAACATTGGTGGTGCCACAGTGTATGTCAGGCGACCCCCCCCTCCCCCCGCGGCGCTGCTCTGCAAATGAACCTGAGAAGCGTAAGACAAAGGGAGATGCGTTTGCTTGTGTGTATGTGTGTGTATGTGTGTGTGTGTATGTGTGTGTATGTATATGTGTGTATGTGTGTATATGTGTGTGTATGTGTGTGTATGTGTATGTATGTGTGTATGTATGTATATGTGTGTGTATGTGTGTATATGTGTGTGTATGTGTGTATATGTGTGTGTATGTGTGTGTGGGGAGCGGTGGTGTAGCGGTTAACGTGCTGCGCTACGAACCTGGCGACCCGGGTTCGATTCCCGCTCACGGCCAACACCTAGTGACGATTATCTGAACCGGTCCTGGACCTCCCCTAGGTCGACTCAGCCTCAAATGAGTACCTGGTACGATGTGTAAACATCGCCACTGGGGAGACAAAGGCGGTCGGGCGTGGTGCTGGCCACCCACCCCCTCGTGTGCCATGCTGGCCTTCATAGGTGCTCGCTAACAGCACTTGCCCCTACAGTCTGTTCAGGCTATACAGGGGATCTTTGTCTTTGTGGGAAGCGGTAGTGCAGCGGTTAGCGCGCTGCGCTACGAACCCAGCGACCCGGGATCAATTCCCGCTCACGGTCAATACCAGTGACGATTATCTGAACCGGTCCCAGGACTCCCCTAGGTCGACTAAGCCTCAAATGAGTACCTGGTGCGGTGTGTAAATATCGCCACTGGGGAGACAAAGGCGGTCGGGAATGGTGCTGGCCATCCACCCCCTCGTGTACCGTTCCGGCCTTCATAGGTGCTCGCTAACAGCGCTTGCCCCTACAGTCTGTCAAGGCTATACGGGGGATCTTTGTGTGTATGTGTGTGTGGGCAGTTGTGGAGAGAGTGGAGAGTTCCCCATACCTGAGCAGTGTGCTCATGACCGGCTCCGGTTTAACAGCAGAGGTCTCACTCCGAATCAGTCGAGCGGCAATATATTTTCATCGGTTGCGTAACGCTGTGTGGAAGCTACCTGGTCTGTCGCTCCGCACAAAGCTTCAGGTCTTCTCGGCCACAGTCATTCCCTCCATTCTCTGTGCTTGCGAAACGTGGACCCCCCTAATGGAGCATTTTCGCTGGTTAGAAACATTTAGGCTGACCTGCCTACGATCCATCCTGGGTTTAACCAGGCTGGATTGTGTGAGGAGCTCACAAATCCTTGAAAGATCTGGGCAAAGTCCCATCGGTGAGCTCCTCCGGGAGGCAAGGCTGCGTTGGCTGGGTCATGTAGCCCGCATGCCCAGCCACCGCATGCCTAAACAGCTTTTGTTCGGTCGGATCGAGGGGGCTAAACGGGCGCGGCACGGGCTAGAGAAGAGATGGAGTAATGTGGTACAGGAGGACGTGGAGCTGAGTGGACTTTCCGATGACTGGTACCAGCGGTGTCAAGATCGGCCTCTGTGGAGGAGGCTCGTGAAGGACGCTACTGGACAGTTGGAGGCAGTCGCCCTCCAACAACAACGGAGGGCGGAGGAGCGACGCTCACAACAACGAGCGGAGCGCCGGGTGGATAAATCACAGCAAGTTGGCACAGTAGGGGGCACAGGTGGTGCATCAGCCAGTCATCTCGGTCATCTCGGTCAGTCGACCCGTGGCACCTGGGTCTGCCCCGTGACCTCCTGCCAGCGGGCGTTCGACACTTCACGTGGCCTCAAGGTGCACTTGGCTTGGCACAAGTGTTGTGGTGACGTCACCGCCACTTAATGGCGAATGGCGCTTGTTGTTGTTGTTGTGTGTGTGGAGCGGTGGCAACCCGAGTTCGATTCCTGCTCGCGACCAACACCAGTGACGATAATCTGAACCAGTTCTGAACCTACCATAGGTCGACTCAGCCTCAAACGAGTACTGGATCTGGTGTGATGTGTAAACATCGCCACTCGGGACGACGATGATTGATGATGATGATGATGAAACAAGTCACGGCGATTAATTTTGATCATACTTCACCACGCTGGTGAGCGCGGGGTTTGGTAAAGGCCGGGACCGTAGAAGTGTGGCCGTGAGTGCAGGACAACAAACGGATGTTGCCGCACTGCCCCATAATCCGCTGACAAGGTGGCGTGGGACGGTGACCTTCATCCAGCCGTGGATTGACTCATAACCGCACCGTACAATTACATGGAGCAAACAAGTCGTTAGGATGTGCAATGGTTATTTAAGCTGTCGTGAGCCTGTGGTGTTTACAGTGAGAGAGAGGCGGACTGCGTGCACCCGGAATTGAGTGACCGTTTTGGTTTTGACTCTGATTTGAATTGGCGGAAGGAACTCACCCATCACAAGTGAGAGGAAATACACTCGATAAATGATTTATGCAAACAATAGGATCGGTTCTCCCATGCGCCTTTGCGTTTGGTCCGCCAAACAACTCAAAGGGATTCAGGAACGTGGCCGAGTTATTTTTTTTTGGGACGGCAGCAGGGCAACGAGGGGCGCGGGCCTCATCTCATCCTCGGCGTCATCAAAACTCATTCCGAGACGCACGTCCGCCGAAGGAGACGGAACGATGCAATCGGCTCGTGCCCGGGTGTCACGTGCCAGTGCTGCGTCAAATCCCCAACGGCTCGTGGGGGCTTTAATCCGGCAGTGGATTGATCGTTGGCTGATGATTTTGATGATGACAATCATTGTGGGAGATGCGACAGAATGGTGGAGGGAGGCCTTCATCCAGCAGTGGAGTGATCATGGCTGATGCTAATGCTGCGATGTGCCTCGTGCAGTTAAATTCTGCTTGGCTCGGTCCACTCCATCCCGTGATACGTGTGAGGCGGTACCAGTGAGTTACGGGCGAGGCGTGGGTGCATTCCAGTACGCTCAGGGTGAGTGGGTGGCGGGGGGGGGGGTACTTGCCTTGGCTTTGGCTTTGTAACTCGGAGAGGGCCAAGTCTAAAGTGCAGAATTCGCTCAAGGCCAAAGTCAATGTCGCTTTTGTGATAACGTAATGAACCACAATGCCTTTCTGATCTCGTCAAGGAGCATAAACCATCACACGAACTCCGGTCATCCTCGCAGCAGCGGATTTTGGCTGCTGGTTATCGAACAAAGACGGTCAAAACATTGCACGCTTGCAGATGCGCTTCCGTGGCCATCTGGAACGCTCTTCCTTCCGATATTAGGAAGCCACTGGAGCGATGCACTTTAAGATCTAGATTGAACAACTTTCTTTAGAACTGCTTTTTTGGTGTTTAGCTTGTTGTCGTTCCCCCGCACCTCCGATTAGCACGGTTGGCAGTGTACGGTGCAAAAGAACTTCAACGTACTTACAAACCTTACCTCCCAAGTTGGTGTCTGCTCACGCACGCGTGTTTTTATAAATCGCACACGCTCCTCTGTCTCTCAAACGGAATGTCGAGCGTGCCTCGATCCGTGCCTCCTTGCGCACCTTGTAGTTTTTTATGCAAAATAATAATACTACTCGGTTTGACCCTGTGTGGCAATAAAACAGGAGGTGTCAAGGAATCGAGTCTGCATTAACCACATGGACTTGTGGTGAACAAGCTGTCTCTGGTGTAGGACAATCAGTTCCAAAGACAACGCATGCATTATATCAGAGCTTGTTTTGTTTGCATGTTCACCACAAGCAGGTGTGGTTAATGCACACTTGATTCCTCGCAAATGGTTTCTATTTGGTGTTTGAACATATTAACGCCTGTTTTATTACCAAAAAGGGTAACAAACCTATTCTTACTTCTCATACTTCTCTAGAGTGAAATGGGGACGTGACGTCAGGTGTGCCGTTCAGTACAATGACGTCACGTCTCCTAGAGTACTTAAGGGAGACCCCGTGACGAAAGCGGGGTCACTGTGGGAACGGGGAATGGTAGAAGGGTAGAGAGAGAACCAGGGGTAGAGGGATCAAGAGGTGAGTCTGAAGAGAAGCCGGTGGTAGCCGTAGAGGTGCTTCTCTCTCCGGTCGGTGGAGTTGGCAGAGTCCCCGATCCGACACGAGAGAGAGAGACCGGAGCTAGCCGGGCTGGGACCAAACAGAGCAGGGTCGTGTGGTGGGACTCAGTATAGGACCCCTAACCCCTGGGAAGTTGTATACCCTGGTGTGTGTTATTGTTATATCCTTGATAAACCTTTGGCAGAAGCGTCTCAACTTACCTGCGTCTCCGAGTGCGTCCGTGGGTACTCCTCAACACTTTGATACTGGCATAAAAGTCCCATAAACTTGTAGCTTTTGTTTGCGTTTGACCTCGTTTTACCTCGTCGGTCTCCACCACGATTCTGATGGTGACATCACGGCAGACAACTGCCTCGTGCACTTTGCTACGATGGTATGCGAGGGTTACGTCTCTTAATGGTAAATATCACGTCGCTCTATCCCGCTTACGTACAGTAGAACCCCTCTTAACGGCCACCAGTTAACGACGAAGCGCTTATCGACGGGCCTCCATAGAGCCCAGTGTGTAGTATATAGTTTAGTGTATAGTAGCGTATAGTTTAGTGTATAGTAGTTTATAGTAGCGTAGTGTATAGTAGTGTAGTGTATAGTAGTGTAGTGTATAGTAGTATAGTGTATAGTAGTGTAGTGTATAGTAGTGTAGTGTATAGTAGTGTATAGTAGTGTAGTGTATAGTGTAGTGCCGCCAGAAAGCCCAATGTGTTTGCTTACCGACCGTTCCCCTGTTAGACAGGCTGTTGTATGCACAGTGAATATTAATTAATGCATTGATTAACCATGTTTATTTTAATATTATGTGTTTATAATAGTATTAGTAAATTTATGTGTTGATATTCATCGTTGAAATATTAGAAAGTACGTTTTCTGCGTGAAAATGGTAACCTTCGATGCTATCGGAACGAATTTAGCCTTTAACGTGTATTTCCTGTACTCGCTTAACGACCTAATCACTGAACTCTAATCCACATGGCATTCCCTCTCTCTGTCTCTCAAGAGCATTTGCGTAATTCCTTGACTTTGACAATGAATAACTTCTCGCACCACACCATTGGACTGGTAAACCAGGTCACAGGTCTTCTTGCCTCCCCCACGCGGAGCATTTTCTGTGAGCTGGCATTGATTACCACGAGAAGGGTAGTCGGGGGCTCTATCTCTCGCTCGCTCTCTCGCTCTTAACACTGCAACGGGGAGGAAGTCGGCTTAGGACAATTGCACAACGCCGCCCGATGTTAACAGGATCGGGAAACGACCGTTCCCCGTCGCCGAGGGACTTCCGAATCCCTTCGGGTCAGAGTCGCGCACGCGCACACCTCGACACGCACGTGTCCGCAGACGCGAGCGTGCGCACATTTCGAATCGAAGCGTTCGGCAAGCGCGTTCTGGCCCCGCGTTTAGAAAGTACCGCAGCAACGTCTTCAATTGTGATTACACACACACGGTAGTAATATCCCCCACTGTGGCCACACGCCTGCTGTGTGCCACAACAAGGCGCCTGCCTTCGTGATCGCCTCGAGCTCTCGAGACGAGAGTGCCAACATCAAATGTACTAACTCGTTATCATCATCATCACCACCACGACCCACCACTACCCCCACAGTGGACGAGGCGCGAGGGGCCTAGGACGACCTGCGGCGGCGCAGGGAGCTCGAGCGTCCTCGCTCTGGGGTCATGACGGAAGGAGCGTGGAGCTTCGGGCCAGAGTGCTCCGGCACCGCCACGACAATCGTCAGCGACCTCGGCGATGGCCCCAACAACAACAGCAGCGGCGTCGGCGTCATTCTCGGCAACTGCTCGATGAGGCACGCGAACGTGTCGGCCGTGCTCTCGGGCGAGGAGTACAAGTACCCGCTGCTGCTCGCCATCTACTCGGCCACCTTCGCGCTGGGCTTCGTGGGCAACTCGGTGGCGCTGTGGGACTTCCTGTGGCACCGGCGCTACCGCTCGCCCAGCTGCGTGTGCCTCATCAACCTGGCGCTCGCCGACCTCCTCTTCGTGCTCTCGCTGCCCATCCGCCTGTTCTACTACTCGCGGGAGGCCGACGTGGAGCTGCCCGCCACCCTCTGCCGCGTCAGCCACTACGCCTTCTACGTAAACATGTACGGCAGCATCTACCTGCTCGCCTGCTACAGCGGCATGCGCTACCTGGCCGTGGCGCGCCCGATGCGCGCCAAGGAGCTGATCACGCTGAGGCGCGCCGTGCTCGCGTGCGCGGCCATCTGGATCTTCGTGCTCTCCTCGTGCGCTCCGCTGCTCGTCACACGCTCCTCCGAACAGGGCACCAAGTGCTTCGACCTGCAGAAGGGCTCCGTCTCCTTCCTCTACAAGATGAACGCCTTCGCCGCCGTGGTGGGGTGCGCGATGCCGTTCGCCGTCATCCTCCTCTGCTACGCGGGCATCTGGAGGTCGCTCGTGGGCGGCCCCGAGACGTCCGCCTCGCTGGTGTCGCCGTCTCTGCCGCCGATGCTCCGGCTGCGCGCCAACGGAGGAGTGCGCGCGGCCAGACGCAGGCGCGCGGCGCACCTCATGCTGGCCGTGGTGCTGGTCTTCGTCGTGTGCTTCATCCCCTACCACGCGCTGCGCACCGCCTACCTGCACCTGCGGCTCTGGCGCGGGGGAGACTGGGTGGGGGTGCACAAGTGCCTGCTGGCCGCCGCCACGCTCACGGCGCTCAACTGCGTGCTCGACCCGCTGCTCTACTACTTCTCGGGGGAGATTTTCCGCCGAAGGGCGCTGGCGATGTGGGACTCCGCCGTGAGGCTGCAGTCGACGAGGAGCGGCGGCGCGGCCGGGGGCACCGCCACCATCGTCCTGCCCAAAAACAACAACAGCAGCAACATCAACAGGGGTGCCGCGTCCCCTGGCCGCGCGCCGTCACGCGTGGAGAAAGTGGTGACTTTGGACTGCCCCGTCTAGAGCAGAGGGGGGCGCGGACACGCTTCGGAAATCGGGGGGAGGTGGGGGGTGTAGGTCAGTTCCATGCCCGGCTCTAGCTCCGCTGGAATAGCGGGGCCACGAGAGAGCTGCCGTGGCTCTGGGTCACCACTGATGAGAGTGAACGTGGGGTGGGCCCAAGGGACTTGTCGTTGGTGCATAGCCGAACCAGCAGCAGCACCGGCCGCTAGAGCCGGCCCAGCTACGGTTTGTTCGTCAGACTACAGGGTGGGATGGCATTCACAGAGTCCTCTGCCAGCCTTGTCACGGATCTCAGGGGTTCTATTTGTGCCACAGTTGTATTAAACCTTACGCAACCAGCCGACTACCGACTCAGTGCTGAGCGTACTGTCGACGCGCCGCTGTGTGTAGAGAAGTTCCATCATCAGGAATAATCGGCATGAATGTGACGTTACTGAAGGGGGGTAAGACAAGGGCATTCAAATGTATCACGTTTTCTGTGCAAAACGTTGTCGCTGCCGCTTCGAAATATCTAGAGACAAACTCGGGGCCCGGGAGACATTTTCAAGTTACATTTTTGTTTCTCCAAGTGAGAATGCAAGAAGCCACTAGAGTCTTAGTTGCAAGTGACCACGGGCATTGATCTGCCGGTGTACAGCGTAGTCCAGGTGAGTTGTGACCCCCCCATTTAATTATCTAAAACTCAATATATATTTTATTAAAGTAAGTTTAACTTTAATCAGAAATGAATATGCAAAGGGAATGTTTTTTATAGGGCTCAATTACTGGACATCTATGAAAAAGCTTTATAGCTCATCGGATTTCTCCAGTATAAAAACATTCTGATAATTGTGAGTCTCAAGGCATGTGGACCACCCTGTATAACACACATCGAGCCACGTACCTGGTAATGAATGTTGCAAATTCTGGACCCAGGCCATCCACAGTGGCTGTGCTCCTGGTCTAAGAGCCTTGGGGCACTTGCTGCGCTTGCCAACGTCTTGGAATTCACACAACTGCGATGCTCACAAACCGACCGCGGCTCGCACCACCTCCCTCCGTGCAGACGCCGAGAATTGGGCCATTGCGCGCCGCACGATTGCCAAACACCCAGCCACGTGGGCCACGTGACGTAGAAGCATCGGTAAACATGCAAAGTCGGCAAAGGGCGTGGGGTTGCGAGAACTGCGGTTCATGAAGAAGACCCGTTGGTATGGTGACAACGCAGTTTGCCGCGAAATCGGGATCCGCAAGGGACGCTGTGGTTAAAAAAAAAAGAACTATCTGTGTAAGAGGACTGCACGACCTCTGAGTTCCCGTAAAGTATTTCATGTGGTTTTACTCACTGGGTTACCCGCACATCACTTGCAATTCGCAAATTTAGCTGTCGCCTGATGAAGCTAGTTGTAATTACTGGCGAAACGTCGTACTCAGATTGAAAATGTTGTGGATTTGCTCTCCAACACACCGGTGTGCTGTACTAGTAACGAATTGGCATGTTCTGTTTACGTGACAAATCTTACTAATTGGCTGTGTCGGGTGGTAGGCGGGTTTAACGACACATATATTTACACGATCTAACCCAAAATAACCTGTATTATGAATGCGCCCTATTGTTTTGCCAGATTTCGGAAGCTAATCTTGGGGTTGAGCCTGGGCATTGCTTGGAGCATAAACCATCATGCGAACTCCGGTCATCCTCGCAGTAGCAGCGGATTTTGGCTGGCCATCGAACAAAGACGGTCAATGCATCGCGCGCTTTAAGATGCGCTTCTGCGGCTGTCTGGAACGCTCTTCTGACATTAGGAAGCCACTGGAGCTATGCACTTTTAAATCTAGATTGAAAACTAATTTCTTTAGAGCTCATTGTTGTGTTTAGTTTGTTGTCCTTCTCCCGCACCTCCTATTAGAACGGTTGGCTACGTACGGTGCAAAAGAAGTTCAACACACACACATACATACCACAAGTGGTTTATAGCCTGTGGGATTACAAGGTGGACAGCAGAGGACAATGGAGCAAAGTCTATCGTTGTACTGTATTTATATGTTCCCATGGTCTATGCTCCCTGCCATCACCAATCGGCACTATCGTGGTGAAGTATGAGTAAAAATAAAAATCCACAGGACACGCACGGTATGGGGGACGCCATCATCCAGCAGTGGATCGACACATGGGCTGTTACATCTACATGTGCATTAGTCACTGGTTATGTTATAAATGTATCATAATGAGCAAGATTTATATTTATAGCAGAGATAATATTGGCTATGTAGCAATAGATAAATAATTAAGCAACGGATTAACACTTGGTAAACGATGCATTGGCAAAGCATCCCAACGCAACACCCTTCTGACGGAATGTTTTCAAACTCAGCGAGGCTTTCCTGGAAACATTCAACATAGCTGCGATTATTGTAAATCGCAACACCCACTTGTCAGTGAGACTATTTACCCACCGCGTGTCTTTTGGGAGGTCACAAAGCACGACTCCCGCAGCCCACGCGACCTTTCATTGCATCGAGCAAATAAACCCCGGCCGGTGCAGCGTAAAAGAGAAACTCAATCAGAATGTAAACTTTATAGTGGCCGAACGGGAACATGAAAGCGCGTTGTGAACCTTGTGCTGCTCTGGTGATCTTTACTCCCCCAAATTCCAAGATTCGTAATCACTTGAACCGTTGGGGTTTGTCTTAACCAACACATTATATAAGATAAGATGGAAACAGCAGGAGGAGGATTTTTCCACAACTGTTGGTTGTAATTGCTGCCGAAACGTCATGATACTCGAATTGTAAACGTTGTGGGTTTACTCTCCAACACACCGGTGTGCTGTATGAGTAACAAATTGGCATGTTTTCTTTACGTGGCAAACCTTACTGATTCCCTGTGTCTGGTGGTGGCGGGTTTAACGACACATTTACACTTACGCGCTCTAACCCAAAAACCTCTATTGTGGACAATATTGTTGTCAGTATTGTCATTCATGCTTTGGAGTTAATACCGCCTCTTTATGCATTGACGTAGGGTTGTTTACATGTTGATGGTGCAACGGTTCAACTTTGTAATGTCTTGTTCACGCTCCCTCTAGTGGTAATTGTTTGGCCTTCTCTTCCACGCTGGCCAAACGTCTCGGAAGTGGCTCGGGAGCATACACATTTTAATCCATTTATGATGCCGATGCGTGTGGAGTAACCATAGCTTAATTTCAAGCCCGGTGTGTGCACGGTTAGCGACCCGGAACACCACATCCAAAGTACCTCTCGCTCCACCAGCCCTTGGGGAGTGTACTCATTTCAAAACATTCAAAGTGGGACGGTGCATTCTGCTGTGTGGGTTTGCGTGGTCCTGCTGTTAGCTCTCTCAGATGTTTGTGGGGCGTAACCACGCATTGTCCGTCTATTTGTACGTAAGTTGAGCTTATTTTGCACCGTACGTAGCAAACCGTGCAAATCGGAAGTGCAGGGTGAAGGACAACAAACTGAATGCAAAAAAACATTTCTAAAGAAATTAGTTTTCAATCGAGATGATTTAAAAGTGCATAGCTCCAGTGGCTTCCTAATATCGGACGGAAGAGCGTTCCAGGTGGCCACAGAAGCACATCTGAAAGCGCGATGCAGTGACCATCTTTGTTCGATGGTCAGCCAAAAGCCGCTGCTGCGAGGGTGATCGGAGTTCGTGTGATGGTTTATGCTTTTTGACGAGATCATCAAGGTATTGTGGTTAATTTGTGACAAGCACCTTGTGTGTAATGAGTGAAAACTAATGGCCGACATTTCTCTGCACCCGCTGGAAGCTTCTTTAGATAATCAATTATCTATGTTCACCATCATCAGCCAATATCTATACACTGCTGGATGAAGGCCACCCGAAGCCGTTGTGGTCTTGGCGATGCAACAATTCAGAGTTCCTTGCACCTGACGTTCTGTTGAGCATGAGCTCTCATCTGTTGACAATGTTTGTCAGAATCATTTTTGTTCCCGCAATTTACACGACTACGCAAATAGTGTATAATGCAAGGCGTATAATTTGCACGGCATTGGATGGAACGTGCATATTTCTCGTACATAACTGTATTCACTGCATTGCAGTACTGTCATGCAATGTGTTGCAATAACCGGAGACAGAAGCAGGAAACCACAACCATATTCCTCACCACTCAGTTGACTGTATCAGTTGCGATAGCTTTGTATTGTCCCAAGCAAGGCTGGATTATGGACCTGGGCCAGTGCCCCGGGGCCTCGGACTGCCAGGGGGCCTCCAAGCCACAGGCCGCTCACGATGCATGGCCCAAGACTTCCGAAGGAAGTTGAACGCCAGGGCCCTCAGTACGCACAGCGCAAGCTGACCACTCAGCCCCCATGGTGTTTATAGCGTGAGCTAATCACTAGGGCCCCCTAGCACTTACAATGTGAGGGCCCCCAGACCCCTTGGTGTTTAAAACGTGAGCTGACCACTACTGCCCCCCAGACCGCTCTGCGCTTACAATGTGAGGGCCCCCAAACCCCTTGGTATTTAAAACGTAAGCTGACCATTAGGTTCCCTGGGCCCCTCAGCGCTTACAGTGTTAGGGCCCTCAGGCCCCTCGGTGCTTAAAGCCTGAGCTGACCACTATGGCCCCCAGGCCCCGCAGTGCTTACAATGTGAGGCTCCTCGGTGCTTAAAGCATGAGCTGACCACTAGAGCCCCTGGGTGTTTACAGTGTGAGTTGACCACTAGAGCCTCCAGGCCCCTCGGTGCCTACGTCGAGCGTAACGCCTGGGCCCCTTGGTACATACAGTGCATGTGTAGTGGGTTGAATAACTAGAAGAAGGCTTCTCTTGAGGCAACACAGATTTTATTTGACAATTAGCACTTAACACAGAGAGGTAACGGCCCCTCACACCCGGTACACTATGGAGGTTACTCTCCAGACTGCTACGCCTCTCACTGGCTAATCTAAAAGTCCTCCGTGAGTGAAGCTTGAGTCTTCACTGGTATATAAGCTGGAGCCGACCCTTGCCAGGGGTACGGCTCTGCCCTCTGGCTCTTCAGTCTTTAGGCTTCTTGTCTTCAGCTGGACGACGACTGCCAGGATCGTCCAGAGGTCCTGCTTTTATACAGAGCCGTGGCTCGCTCCTCCCTGGCCATGCCTTCCTTCTCGAACCTTCGAGAAGCATCTGGAGATGATGTCATCCCCCAGCACCTCTCCTGGGGTCAGGGGTCTGCCCCTTTTACATACTGTTCCATAGGATAACCGTTGGACCCTATGGCGCAGGGACTCTCAGCACTGGGCTCAGCCCATCTGTTGCCCCCTATTGGCATGAAGGCCGGTATTGCCGGCAACCGCATGGGAACGGCGCATATTGGCCCAATAACACCATTACATCACCCCCCCCCCCCCTATTCGTAGCACTCAGCCGTCCTGGCGGCCATCAATTACCTTAATAAAGTGTTATAACAACACAAATCGAACCGTGTGTGCCTCGTTAATAACAGCGAACAAAAACACAACAACAGCAACCCCTAAATAAATACCCCAGCCCACCTGTACAAATACACACTATGTACACAAATATACAATCGCGAACGGCTATACCCCCCATCCCTGCCACAACACACCAATCATGGCGAAACGACGTGCGCGACCCACAGTAAATAACAGGCGACATTCCACCAACCGCGGCGATCTGGCGGGAGTTAAGGTAAGTGGTCGGCGCAGTGCGCGTGTAGGTCCGTTGGGCATTAAAAGTCATGAAAAGTGCTCTTTTTTTGGCGCGCGTCCGTGTCGCTGGTCCGTCGTAAGGAACGGGGTGGATCGGCTTGGGGGTGGACGCGACCGGCTCCTGCGCAGGTACAGTAGGCAGTCCGGTTGCGTGGTCGCCGGCAGGGGTGGGTCAGCGTGTACGGGACCGGAGCCTTAAGGACCTTCATGATAGTGAGCGGCCCTGCATCAAACTACGTGGCCGTGAGTCAGAGCCATTACCTCTACACTTTGGGGTGCAACAGGGATGTCCTCTGGTTCCCACATTATTTAAGACATATTTGGACCACATCGTTCGTGAAGCCTTCAATGGCTGTACCGGAAGAATTCCCATCTGCTACAGATACAATGGAAGGCTGATCGATGCCTGGGTGCGGTCGAGGGATGGCTCCCTATTGCTCAACCACGTTATGTATGCCGATGATCTGGTAATTGCTGCTCACTCAGAGTAGAAGTAGGAGGTGCTGCTGCTCAACCTGGAGCTTGCCACCAAGAGGTGGGGCCTTACAATCAGCCCCACCAAAACTAAGCACCTGCCTGGGTATTTTTTACCATCGGGCACTCCACCCCCACAACTCCCAATCGGTGATAGGGCAGTTGTGGAGAGAGTGGAGTATTTCCCATACCTTGGCAGTGTGCTCATGAACGGCTCCGGTTTAACATGAGAGGTCTCACTCCCAATCAGTCGAGCGGCATTATCTTTTCCTGGTCTATCACTCTGCACGAAGTTTCAGGTCTTCTCGGCCACGGTCATTTCCTCCCTTCTCTACGCTTGCGAAACGTGGACCCCCCTAATGGAACATCTTCGCCGGTTAGAAACATTTAGGCTGGCCTGCCTACGATCCATCCTGGGTTTAAACCACGCAGGATTGTGTGTGGAGCTCACAAATCCTCGAAATATGTGGACAAAGTCTCATCGGTGACCTCCTCCGGCAGCCAAGGCTGCGCTGGCTGGGTCATGTAGCCCGCATGCCCAGTCACCGCATGCCCAAACAGCTTTTGTTCAGCCAGATCGAGGGGGTTAAACGGGCGCGGCACGGGCTGGAGAATAGATGTAGTGACGTGGTACAGGAGGACGTGGAGCTGAGTGGACTTGCCGATGACTGGTTCCAGCGGTGTCAAGATCGGCCTCTGTGGAGGAGGCTCGTGAAAGACACTACTGGGCAGTTGGAGGCAGTCGCCCTCCAACAGCAACAGAGGGCGGTGAAGCGACGCTCACAGCAACGAGTGGAGCGCCGGGTGGCTAAAGCACAGCAAATAGGGGGCACAGGTGGTGCATCAGCCAGTCGTCTCAGTCAGTCGAACTGTGGCACCTGGGCCTGCCCCGTGACCTCCTGCCAGCGGGTGTTCAACACTTCACATGGCCTCAAGGTGCACATAGCCTGGCACAAGCGTTGTGGTGATGTCACCACCACTGAGTAGCGAATGGCGGTTGTTGTTGTTCAGTCTATGTATGTATGTGTGAGTCGATATGTGTGTGTAAGTCTATGTGTGTTTGTGACTGGATTTGTGTAACTACATGTGTGTCTAAAGTTGATATCTGTGTGTGTGAGTCCATATGTGTGTGTGCGTGTAAGTCCATGTGTTTCTATGTGTGTGGGTCGATGTCTGTGTGTAAGACCATGTGTGTGTCTGCCTTTTTCGCCCGGGCAACGCCGGGTACTTACCGCTAGTCTAACCTATAAAAGTAATACAGGTAGGAACAATGTTCCACACTGCCCACCAGGGATTTTTTGTCTGTCTGTCTGTCGTGCATAAATAAATATATAATACAAACAGCTCTATGATTGGTGGAGACTAACTGCTGGGTACGGAGAGGGGAGGGGCCTAAGGGAAGGGGGATCAGGGGAGGGGCCTAAGGATATGGGGAAGGGGGGTGGTCAGGGGAGGGGACTAAGGGAGGGGGGTCAGCGGAGGGGCCTGAGGGAGGGGGGTAAGGGGAGGTGCCTAAGCAAGAGGGAGGGGCCGATAGTTAAGGGGGTTGAGGATGTCGGGGAGGGTGGGGGAAAGGTAAACATGCCCACTCATCCAAGTGCCCCCCCCCCCTGAACGCCGCACTGAGTGTGTGTGAGAGTATGTGTGTGTGAGTCTGAGTGTGTGTGTGTGTGAGTCTGAAAGTGTGAGAGTGAGTGTATGTGTGTGTGAGTCTGAGAGTGTGAGAGTGAGTGTGTGTGTGAGTCTGTGAGATTGAGTGTATGTGTGTGTGAGAGTGAGTGTGTGTGAGTCTGAGAGTGAGTGTATGTGGGTCTGAGAGTGTGAGAGTGAGTGTGTGTGTGTGTGTCTGAGAGTGTGAGAGTGAGTGTCTGAGAGTGAGGGTGAGTGTGTGTGTGTGTGAGTCTGAGAGTGTGTGTGTGTGAGTCTGAAAGTGTGAGCATGTCTGTGTGTGAGTCTGAGAGTGTGAGGGTGAGTGTGTGTGTGTGTGAGTCTGAGAGTGTGTGTGTGTGTGAGTCTGAAAGTGTGTGTGTGTAAGTGTGTGTGTGTGCGAGGGGGGTAAGGGGAGGTGCCTAAGCAAGGGGGAGGGGCCGATAGTTAAGGGGGTTGAGGATGTCGGGGAGGGTGGGTGGAAGGTAAACACGCCCACTCATCCAACTGCCCCCCCCCCCTGAACGCCGCACTGAGTGTGTGTGAGGTTATGTGTGTGTGAGTCTGAGAGTGTGTGTGAGTCTGAAAGTGTGAGAGTGAGTGTGTGAGTGTATGTGTGTGTGAGTCTGAGAGTGTGAGAGTGAGTGTGTGTGTGAGTCTGTGAGATTGAGTGTATGTGTGTGTGAGAGTGTGTGTGAGTCTGAGAGTGAGTGTATGTGTATGTGGATCTGAGAGTGTGAGAGTGAGTGTATGTGTGTATGAGTCTGAGAGTGTGTGTGTGAGTCTGAAAGTGTGTGTGTGAGTGTGTGTGTGTGCGAGTCTGAGAGTGTGAGAGTGAGTGTGTGTGTGAGCTTGAGAGTGAGTGTGTGTGTGAGAGTGAGTGTGTGTGTGTGAGATGTGAGTATGTTTGTGAGTCTGAGAGTGAGTGTGTGTGTGAGTCTGAGAGTGTGAGCGTGAGTGTGTGTGTGTCTGAGTGTAAGAGGGTGTTTGTGTGAGTCTCAGAGTGTGAGCGTGAGTGTGTGTGTGTGAGTCTGAGAGTGTGAGAGTGTGTGTGTGTGAGTCTGAGAGTGTGAGGGGGAGTGTATGTGTGTGTGAGTCTGAGAGTGCGAGAGTGTGAGGGTGTGTGTGCGTGAGTCTGAGAGTGAGTGCATGTGTGTGTGAGTCTGAGAGTGTGAGAGTGAGTGTGTGTGAGTCTGAGAGTGTGAGAGGGAATGCATGTGTGAGTCTGAGAGTGTGACATTGAGTGTATGTGTGTGAGTCTGAGAGTGTGATAGTCAGTGTGTGTGTGAGTCTGAGAGTGTGTGTGAGTCTGAGAGTGAGTGTATGTGTGAGTCTGAGAGTGAGTGTGTGTGTGACTCTGAGAGAGTGTGTGTGTGAGTCTGAGAGTGTGAGAGTGTGTGTGTGAGTCTGAGAGTGTGAGGGTGAGTGTATGTGTGTGTGAGTCTGAGAGTGTGAGAGTGTATGTGTGTGTGAGTCTGAGAGTGTGAGTGTGAGTGTATGTGAGTCTGAGAGTGTGAGAGTGAGTGTGTGTGAGTCTGAGAGTGTGAGAGTGAGTTTATGTGTGTGTGAGTCTGAGAGTGTGAGATGTGAGTGTGTGTGTGTGAGTCTGAGAGTGAGTGTGTGTGTGTCTGAGAGTGTGAGAGTGAGTGTGTGTGTGTGAGTCTCAGAGTGTGAGAGTGAGTGTATGTGTGTGTGAGTCTTAGTTACCTAGAGTGTTATACAGGTAGGAACAACAGGTTCCACACTGCCCACCAGGGATTATGTGTTTGTCTGTCTGTCGTGCATATCCGGAATTCCGCCCATCCATGCACCTCTCCACCGAACACCAAGTTACGCCGCGATTGGTTGACGATGTCGGGGAGGGTGAGGGGGAAGGGTCAACATGCCCACTCATCCAACTGCCCCCCCCCCCCGAACGCCGCGCTGTCCAACCAAGTTCCTACCTGCGCACTCCGAAAGAACGTGTTTTTTTTGTCTGTCCGTCTGTCTGTCCGTCTGTCTGCGCACGTGCGCCTGCGAGGGATTTGGCTCTCGAACCGTGGGGTTTATGTTTTGGCAGGCAGCATGCCGTAAGCCCCATGGTGGGCAAGCGCAATGCTGTTTTCCCATCGGTAAACTTGAAAGTAGTTAAAATAGCGTTTTTGTGCGATTTTTCTTTATTTATTTATTTCCCTGCCCCGCTCAAGCTGCTTGCCCCTGGAAACGCACGCGCGTCATCGGTGGAGGGTGGGGGGATTTCTCATTTGCGTTCAAAATGGAAAATAAGTAATAATTAAAAAAATTCAACACGCTTTTATTAAATTTACTAGTAATAGAAGGACTCCACGACTCCAGAAAGTGGCCCCGAAGCTTGCCATAATGTAAGGGACCGTGGGCAATTACAGCCCACGTTAGTTGACCACCCAGGGAAGCCTCACGGCAGTTAAACTTTCAGTATTGGGATGTTTGGCCAACATGAGTTACATCAATTTTATTCATTTTGTAGTGACTGGCAGCGTCACTACCGAATGTATACACAAACACGCACACGTGTGACGTCACTACGCGGGGGGAGCGTCACTACCCCGGGAGTCGACAC